CAGTATTCAAAACTCAGAGTAACCTGTATGAACAGGCTGCAGAAGTAAAAATCACAGGATTATATCAATTGAGAACAGTAAAGTATTTCATGAGTTTCAACAGCCATTCATGTTCACGTTACTAGAAAAGTAGTAATACAAGACAGCATCCTCAATGTGATAAGGAACATCTATTTTTTTTTTTAATCTAGTATACCTAATGGCATAAGACTGAATGCTTTTCCCCTTAGATTGTGAACAGGGCAAGCATATCAGCACTCACCAGTGCTCATCAGTGTTGCAAGTTCTAGCTAGTACAGTGAGGAAAGAAAATAAAATAAAAGGCATATAGATCAGGGGAAAAAATTGTAAATGACAATTATCTGCATAGAAAATCCCAAGAAATCTACAAGAAAAAAATCCTAGAACTAGGAATAGGTTCAGCAAGGTCGCAGGATACATGATCAAAATACAAAAAAACAATTGTATTTCTATTTATTAGCAATGAACCTAGAAACCAAAATTAGAATACAATGCCATGTTCAGTCACTCCAAAAATGAAATACTTGGGTGTAAATCTAACGTGTACAGGACTTGGATGCTCAAAACTGTAAAATGCTAATGAAAGAAAGACAAGATCTAGAGAAATGTAGAGACATACCATGTTCACGTAGCAGATGTCATTCATCCTCAAATCAGCGTATAAGTTGAACACAATTGCTCAACAAGATTATACTAAAATTTATTTAGAAAAGCAAAGGAACTAAAGTAGCTAAAAGCAATTTGGGAAAGAAGAATACAAGTGAGCAGTCACTATCCAGTTTCCAGACATTATATGACTATGTAGTCAAGACCATGTACTGGTGAAGGGAGAGATACAGAAGTCAATGAACAGAATAAGAAACCCAGAAATAGTCCCATACAAGTATGGCCACTGATTTTTGGCAAAGATGCAAAAGCAGTTCAACAGAGAAAATGTGATATTTTCAAGAAATGGTGCTGGAGCAACTAGATATCCATAAGCAAAAATATGAACCCTGGCCTAAACCTCACATCTTATACAGAAATTAACTCAAGGGCTGGCCGAGTGGCTCAGTTGGTTAAGAGCTTGCTCAAGAGTGTGAGCTCTGGGGCCGGCCGAGTGGCGTGATGGTTAAGAACTCGCTTGGGATGCCAGAGGGCCCCGGTTCGGATCCCACATATGAGGGCCAGTGACACTGCCCTCTACAGCTAAGATGCTGAACAACAGCTCAACCTGGAGCTGGGCTGCCGTGAGTCGCCGGCGACGGCATAGGCTGCAGCCCCTGTGGCAGTGGGTTGTCATGGGCTACAGTGTGTAGCCAGCAGCCAGCGTGAGCGGCCAGCAGCCGCAGTGAGCGGCCGTCCAGAAGCCGGCGACTGATCTGCCTCACCTGGGAAGAGCGCAATGATGGTGCCAACTTGGGCCAGTGAAGCGACATCCTCCACAACTAGATTGAAGAACAAAATGACAGCAACTTGTCTGTTCCCCTTCCCCCAATTCCCCAGCACTGTTCCCATCCCCCCCAAAAAAAAAAAAAAAAAAAAAAAAAAAAAAAGAGTGTGAGCTCTGAGCAACAGCAGTTCGATTCCCGGCCCGAGCTGAGCAGCCACTGAGCTGCCAACAAGTGGCAGGATGGCTCGGCTTAAAAAAAAAAAAGAAGTTAACTCAAAATGGACCATAGATTTAAAAGTAAAGCTTTGAGAAGATAACACAGGAGAAATCTTTGGGACGTAGGGCTTGGTGAAGAAAAAGGCCAATAAACTAATGGACTTCCTTAAAATTAAAAACTTTTTCTGTCACAAAAGACTCTGTTAAGAGGATAAAAAGACAAACTATGGACTATGAGAAAATATTTGCAAGCCACATATATCTGACAAGTTATAAGTAAGTCATAACTAGAATATTTACTGTTGAGTTTTGAAACTCGGCAGTAAAAACTAAACACTCCAGTTAGAAAGTAGACCCAAATATGAGCAGATGTTTTACTGAAGAAGGAATATAGATGGTAAATAACACGTGCAAAGGTGGTCAACCCCATTAGGGCAATGTAAACTAAGACCATTTTGAGATACACTACACTTATTAGAACAGCTAAAGTAAAAAATACAGTAGTTCCCCCATAAACATGGGGGGATATGTTCCAAGACCCCCAGTGGATGCCTGAAACTGCCGATAGTCCTATATGTGCAGTTAAGTCCTCATTTAATGTCCTTACGTCCATACATATGTATGATAAATTTATAAATTAGGCACAGAGGTTAACAATAATAAAATGAAAGGATTGTAACAACATACTGTAATAAAAGTTATGTAAATACAGTCTCAATATCTCACCCTTGTGATGATATGAGATAATACAGTGCCTATGTGATGAGGTGAAGTGAGGTGAATGATGGAGGCACTGTGACAGGTTGCTAGGCTACTGTTGATCTTGTGACAGTGTATCAGGAGGAGGATTATCTGCTTTGGGTGATCCTGGATCATGGAGCCATGACGATCGGCCATGGATAACGGAAACTGCAGAAAGCAAACCGTGGATCACGTAGTGCTGCTGTAGTGACGACATGGCATGCTGGCAAGGACGCGGAGAAACTGATGTCCCATACAGCGCTGGTGGGAGTTAGACGATGTAGCCGTTCTGGAACATAGCTATGGCAGGTCCTTGAAAAACCGAACATGCCCTTACTGTTCAACCAGCAATTGCACTCATGGGCATTTATCGCAGAGAAATGAAAACTTTATGTCCACATAAAAACCTGTACGTGATTGTTCATAGCTTTATTTATAATAGCCCCAAACAGGAACCACCATAATATCCCTTACTAGATAGATGGTTAAAAAACTAGTTCATCCATGTCATGGAATAGTACACAGTGCTATTGGTACACGCAACAACACAGATGGATTTCAAAAGCGGTATTGGAGTAAAAAAGCCAGTCTTGAAAGTCTCGTCCTGTATAATCTGTTTATATAACATCCTTGAAGTCATAAAATTGTAGCGACAAAACAGATTAGTGGTGGGGGGGGAGGGTGGGGGGCGGGCACGTGGACGTAGGGATGTAACACATAGGAAATCTTGGGTGATGAATAATTCTGTTTCTTGATTGAAGTGGTATTTTTACGAACATATACCTGTGTAAAATGGCATAGAGCCAGCCACACACAACTGTATCAGTGTAGACAAGTGTCCTGTTTTTGATATCGTACTCTAATTATGTAAGACGGAATGATTGGAGGAAACAGGAAAGAGTACACAAGCACCTTTGCAACTTCCTGTGAACCTATAATTGCCTCAAAATAAAATGTTTTGTTTTAAAAACACCAACTTCAAACCACAAACTAAATGTGGCATACGCTGCTGTGCTTTCGGGACAGTGCCAACAGAACAGGTGATAGCAAAACATTGTCTGGAGGTTTGCGGGGGTGCTGACGTCAGCATTTAACATGCCGCATATCCAGGTACAAGGATGGTCATTATTGTGCTTTGTTTCATGCAGTTAGCATGTTCCAGAATAGCAGGCTGCTCACACAAAGCAGGGCTCCTCTGTTCACCCCAGTTATCTGGACCACCAAGTCCACAGATGTTCCAGGTTTATCCAGAAGAACATAAGGGAGCAACACAGCGTTGTTGGCGGAACATCGTACTGTTGTTCCGTACAGTACGGAACATCGTACTGTTCAGGCTGAGCTTTCCTTCCGACATTCCCTCCTATCTCTGGTGTTTGGTCCACTCTTAGGGATTTTGTACTTCTAAATGTGTAAACGGAATGTGCACATTGTATTTCATTCTAATTGAAGATGTGTGGCCATTCTAATAGCAAGTGCATATAGCAGGAGCAGGTTTGCAAAGCCTCATTGTATCTGGGGCTGCACAGGTTGAACTATTAAAGAGCACCGTGTTGGGGAGCATCATTCTAATTTTAAAGTATAGATGAGGCTCATTTCTCACAAATCTCTGTCCAGAAAACTTGCACCAATGGTTTAAGTAACAGTTGTTAATAATTTAGTAAGCACTATATGCAAGACACTGTTGTCAGTACTACATTCATTATCTCATTGAATTCCCTCAGATACTGAATGAAGACTGCACTATCTTTATGTCTCTCACAGTCGAAGAAACTGGGGTTAGAGGAGTTAGGTAACTTGAGCCAGGTCACCAGCTGTATGGCTGGAATTTGAGCCTGGGAGCTGACCCAGTGTCCAAGTCATTAACCAAGTATGTCCCACGTTCCTGTTTGTGTGTGCACGTCTGCTTGATTCCCACTTCCTGCCTCCAGCAGCAACCTAAGTGCCTAAGAACCCAGGTGCCTTTCTTACCCCAGTCGGGCCCCTCCAATACCAGAAACCCGGCATTATACATGAGAGTGGCAGACCGAGCGGCATTCTTGTATACATTAACTAGTCTGGTGTTACAAAACAGACAGCAAGTTATATAGGGGATATGTTGTGGCAGCCAGCTGGAAAAAATGGTTTGTTAAATCAATCTTGGTTTTTTTGTTTTAATACCTTCAAGAGATCAGTTTATTTTCTCTGGAAACAAAGGGCAATAGTAACAAAGCCAAAGTCAAGGTTGTTCTGGAGTGCATTGTTTGACCTGATTATCTTATCTCTTCATTATGTCATAGTAATAAATGATTGGTAGCAAGCAAAGCTGTTTGTTCTTTACAGGTGTAATTAAATCCAGCCTGGTCATTCTCCATTGCACAGCTGCACAAACCCCAGGATTGCGTTGCAGGATACACCATTGAAAATGTTACAAATTCTTACCTTTGTAGACTTAGCTGCAACATTGCAACATTTTCAATTCCTCTAAAAACAACTAAGCAACTTGCATCTGTTACTTTAAATCCTTTATGTGAATCATGGCCTTTTTCCCCCCAAAGTTATTAGCATGCTTTTGATTTTTGTACAGCTTGACATTTGTAATTACGTGTGTAACATAATATGTGTTGCAAAGAGCTTTTGTAGACTGATCTAATTTCTCGTCTTTGCCTTACAGGAATATATTAAAGGAATCTGTGAACCTGAACTAGAAGAAAGAGAATGCTACCCCAAGGCCATGCACTGCATCTTTGTTGGGGCACAGAGCCTGTTTCTGAAGAGCTTGATTCAGGACACCTCTGCCGATCTCTGCGTCCTGGATACTGGCCTCCTGGGCATCAGAGGAAGCGCCGAAGCTGTGGTCATGGCTAGAAGTCACATTCAGCAGTTTGTAAAGCTCTTTGAGAATAATGAGAACCTGCCCAACAGTCAGAAAGAATCAGAGGTGAAAAGGGAATTTAAACAGTTTGTGGAAGCCCGAGCAGACAATTACACAATGGACTTGTTGATTTTGCCCACTTCCTTGAAAAAAGAACTTCTGACACTCACACTAGGCGAGGAGAATCTGTTTGAAACCGGAGATGATGATGTTATTGAAATCGAAGATTCTAAACAAACAGAGTTCACCCAGAATGCTGCCGCAGGGCTGACGATGTCCAGAGATGAAATTGTTTTGCAGGAAGATGCAAGAAATAAAGCTGGGACCCCTGTTTCTGAGCTTACAAAACAAATGGACACAGTCTTTTCTAGTTCACAAGATGTACTTTTTGTTCCAATAAATGGTCTAAACCCCGATGAAGAGGCACTTTGCAGAGGCAGAGTTTGTCACAAAAGGAGATTTTCTGACTCAGAGGAAAGGCATACCAAGAAACAGTTTTCTTTGGAAAGTGTTCAGGAGGGAGAGCCACACGATGGTAAGACATTGGCTGGCAGCGTGATCATTGACCTCTCTGATTCTGCTGATCCTGACAATTTCAGTCCAGAGGTAAAAGACAATACCGAGGAGATGGAGTACAACATCCTCGTCAACTTTTTTAAAACCATGGGCTATTCCCAGGAAATTGTTGAAAAGGTCATTAGGGAGTATGGGCCATCTACTGAACCATTATTGCTCTTAGAGGAGATTGAAAAAGAAAACAAGAGAGTCCAAGAAGACAGAGAATTTTCACCTGGTACTATGTATCCGGAGACCAGCAAAACCAAAAATAAAGGTGTTTGTAGCAGCATAAACGAGCTTACAACAGATTCCACTCCAAAGAAAACACAAACTCACACACAACAAAACATGGTAGAAAAATTTTCTCAGTTACCGTTCAAAGTTGAATCAAAACCTTGTACCTCAAATTGCAAAATCAATGCTTTCAGGACAGTGCCAGTGGAACAGAAACAAGAAATCTGGAATTCAAATCAGAGCTACCTGGGTAACATAGACCTTGAAACGGACGGCCTTTCCCCCTCTGTTGCCCCTTCAAGTCCCAAAGAAGCTCTCAGTTTTGTTTCAAGAGGAGCTTCAAGTCACCAGCCCAGAATTCCAGTTTTTCCTGAAAACGGTTTGCAGCATCAAGGAGAGCCCTTGCTTCCAAATAATATGAAATCGGCCTGTGAAAACCGTTTGGGCTCTCCGCAGTCTAAGCCAAATTGTCCACTCCTTTCTCAAGCACAAATGCCACTGCACCAGCTGTTACCTTCGGTCACTGATGGAAGGTTGGCAGGACCCTCTGATCACATTGATTCGTCGGTTACAGGGGTTCAGAGGTTTCGAGATACTCTGAAAGTTCCCTACAAGCTGGAGTTAAAAAATGAACCCGGAAGAACCGATTTGAAGCACATTGTTATAGACGGGAGCAATGTTGCAATTACGTAAGTCCCTGCTGCAAATTGGTGCAGTTTTCCATAGGGCTCTAAGCAATGGCCGGCACTACACGCCTCTATAGGAACGAGCCTATGTGTCTGTCTAGTTGATCCATAGCCTTACCTGGCGTCAATGGGGGCCGGCTGGTTGGTAAAGTTTTGTTACTCTCTCCTAGAGTTGTAGGCTTTGCTCCACCTGCTCAACCTGTATTCCAGAGGGCAGGAGACCACATACAGTGTGCCTTTTCACATGGCCTTGCCCAGTGACAAGCAGTGTGGAGCATTAGGCTCTGAATCTGAGGATGGAGCTTAAGGCAAAAAAGGGGTTTTCCTGTCTTTTTATGCTATAAGATGCCAGGTGTGTTGCCGAGTGCGCGGTGATAGTAGGCATGCTGTACTTGCGTTGTATTTGTGTTGATAGAGTGATGGCAGATTCTTTGCTAAGGAGCTCAGTCAGCTTGAGCTTCTTTATGGGCCTCTGCTCCTACTAAAAAGTTTGCATACCTGTTTTTAGTAAAAAAACGGCTATCATTTCTGTTTAACCTGTCTCGGAACCCCCTTAGGATTCTTATTTTACGCCTCTGATCTGAGGTTGGGTTTGTGATCTAAGGGGCTCAGAAAAGTGAGGGTCGTGTCAGGGTCTCTGCCCCACCAGGGACCAGCTGTTTGACCTTGGGCAGGCTTCTGCCTGGGAGTTCACCTGCTGCCATCTGTCATTGCCTTTCGCCCTCTCCTGAAGGACTCCTTTATCATAATGTTTCAGCACCTGGCCGGTAAGGTCTTCTTCCAGTTCTCCGTCAGTCACGCCATTGATTTTGAAGATCTGCAATTCAAGAAATGGGGCGCCTGAACGTGGAACGAAGGAGAGAAGTTGAAATATTTTTCTGAATTGCTAAGTGTTCATGTGGCCTCTTTCCTAGGAGTTCTGAAAGATCAGTTAAAGCCCTTCTTTTACAGGACTACTTGATGAGACTGAAAATAAGTTTTATTGTTGAGATATGTGTTTACATACTAGTTATTTTTTGTTTTGTTAATTTTTTATTAGAACTTTCAAATAAGTACACAAGACGATAACATAATGAGTCCCATGTTGGATTCACTTGGGGTTCCCATGATGCACCCACCCATCACCACCTTCGGGCATTTTAAACACTGTTTTATCTCTCCTACCACCCACTGCCTTTCACCCATAGTATTTTGAAGGAAGCCTCAGATAATGTCATTTCGTCAATAGATATGTTAGTATCTTATTTTTAAACTAAAAGCATTCTATTGATTTTTAATTTTTGAATGAATTATTGATGCTGACTTTGCTGTCAAAAAAAGAAAAATGCCAGCATTTCACACGTTAACGTTTGAAGAGAGGCAGTAAAAGTAGATAATATACTTGCCTTCATTTCCAAATAATACTGTTGATTGTCACTTCACCTTGTTTTTTGGCAGTGCCTTTGGGGGAAACCCAGCAAACGGCCCACAGCTGCACAGCATTATCTAAATAAAAATGTCAAGTGCCGTTTCAGTCATCCACAGTCCAGGTCGGCACCAGTTCCTCATGGGTACCATTTTTTGAGCCAAGTGACGAAATAAAATTTAGGTCACAGTTGTAAGTAACATCAATGCTTTTTCATTTTTCTGTATGTGGAAAAATTTCCCGAGTTGGCGTTCAAAGAATAAGATGCAAATTAATGTAGAATGAATGGTGATAATGACACTGTTTTTCAAACCTTTTTGAAGAAGTAACTAGTGTAGCTCTCAGAGGGGCCTCTGTTGGAATGTAGACTGGCATGTCTACCCATGCCAGGACGTTTTGCATAGCTGGTTCCTTCCACTTCGGCCCCAGTCCCTCCCCCAGTCATGTGACAGCCCCACACACGCCCACATGTTTCCTAACCCCCTGGGGTACAGCACCGTCTCTTGAAAACCTCTGAATCAGTGCACGAAGGGAAACCACAAGCTGACTTACATTAGTTTTTTTGAAAACTGATTATTTTGGGAGAGTTTCAATTTTCTTTGAATGCACAGATGTCTCAGTTTAAAAGCAACACTTTTGCAAAAAAGACAGACTTAATTTGATGTAGATTGATTTGAAAATATCAGTAATTAAAATGAACTTCTGGGGAGAAAGTACTTCATGGGTACAGGGTTTTATTTGAGAGTGCTGGAAATGTTTCAGAACAAGATAAAAGGGGTGGCTGCACATGTTATGTAAATTACATTGAATGTACTAAATGCCCCTGAATTGTTTACTTTAAAATGATTATTTTACGTTATGTGAATTTCAACTTAAATTTTTCAAAGTTGGAAAAAACCAACCCTATTTTAAATTAATTGCTTTGATATGAAATGTGAGTTACAGACTATAAATCCCATGAAGAAAGTGTCCTCTGACTACCCCCGAGGGCGCCTTGCACTGGCAGGCACACAGTGACACCATTAGATGAGCGAAGGGAGAACTGGGATGTTAAATAGTAGGGTTTTTAAGTGACTTTTTTTTTAAGATTTTTATTGGGGAGTTGGGAAAGGGGAACAGTGTTGGGGAATTGGGGAAGGGGAACAGACAAGTTGTCCTTCAGTCTTAGTTGTGGAGGGCGCAGCTAGCTCAGCTCCAAGGCCAGTTGCCATCCGGCCGCCTGTCGGCAGCTCGCGGCCGCTCAGCTCAAGGTGCCGTGTTCAATCTTAGTTGCGGGCGGGAGTCGAACCAGAAACCTTGTAAGGAGCACATGCTCTCACCAGCTGAGCCATCCTGCCACCTGTTGGCAGCTCAGCAGCAGCTCAGCTCGGGGGCAGCTCACTGGCCCATGTAGGAATCAAACTGGCGACCCTGTTGCTCAGAGCTCACACTCTTAACCAACTGAGCCACTTGGCTAGCCCTAAAATGACTTTTTACTACCCATTTATATAGCTTGTAATTGCAGTTGCTATTCCAATGATCAATTTAGGTTAATTTTAACTGAGACCATATGTTTAATTCCACAAATATTTTGAACCTTAAAGCTGAAATACCTGTTACTTGTCAGGTACTGCACTTTATCTTTTACAACATAAACTTCACACCAATTTTGTGAGGTAAAGATTATGTGATTTATGTAACATGAAGTGGCTTAAACGTCTTGCCCAGGATCCCACAGAAACGAGATTTGGGCCCCTGCTCTCTCTTCCCAGTCGTCCGTGCACCTGCCTCTCCCCACAGAGGCTGAGGCTGAGATTCTCAGCCTTGGCTCCACTGAATACTAAACCTTGTTACATAAGCACTGCTGAGCAGACCTCACGCAACCACCCAGCTAGTTGGGGAAGTAGCGAAAAAGGAAATTTGAGTCCTTATTAAACAGTAGCACCTGTTGGTTTGAAGCCCCTGACGCGGCTCAGGCCCACCTGCCCCTGGGTTTCTGCAAAGCCCTTATTTGCCCATCCAGCATGATGTCTGCAGTTCGGACACCGTGAGAAATTCCCAAACCCCCTCACAGTGCTGCTTATCACACACATCTCGACGTGGTTTTTCCCTTTGTCGCCATGAATGAGTCAAATGATGAGTAAATGGAAATCGTTTGCGGTGCACAGCTAGAGGGTACAGTGGTGGCCAGATAGCTAACACTGGGGCTCTGTCAGTCTGAAACTGCAGCATAAGAGCACCTGACTATCTGGGCAGAAAAGTTTCCATGTCATTGAGATTTGCCCCTTCATTTGCCAGAACTAGATGTGTTAGCCATTTTTCGTGCTGGTCTTTCTATATCAGGGTTCCATGGCTATTTTTATGAAGTGGAAGCTGTGGAAGGAAATTCCTCTTTCCTGGGTAATTCAGAACAGGTTTTTCACTATTTCCCCACACCGCTCTGTCCGGTTCTATGACTGCCATCAGTTTTGATCAGGTAGCTCACCCTTCTTTCTGCTTGGGACACCCTACCTTCTAGTTGACTGCCTGCTCTGATAGAATATGGAAAACAAGCAGATGACACATAACTTGTTTCTACTTATGTGAAAACGGGAGCTTAAATCTCCCTTGAGAGCCTGCACACCGGCCTCGGGTCCATCCATTTGGAATTTGGAGCTGGGAGTCCTGGGAAGCTAGAGCAGTGTTACTATTGTATGTAGCCACCTTGGCCTGGGTTTACCTGTCACCAGGCTGCACGCGGAGGCCAGGAGACAACACTAAGCACAGCTCTGCCTGCTCGGATGCAGGGCTGAGGGATGCAGGCTCAGGGACCCTCGGTATTCTTTGGAGGATAATAATTTGGCTCCACTTGATTCTTATTTTCTCTGTAATTTTATTTTCTGGGGAAATCTGTATGTTCTCCGCCAGAATTTTGAGCTGCTGTTTTTATTCCCAAAACAGCTCGAGAGATTTTTCAGAGTATCCCTGAGGATGACATTTTGGAAATTAGCTTAGAGCAAGTGTTTCTACAGTAGAAACTCATGTTTTCCCCTCCAAGCTTGTGAGGGGTCCAGGGCAGCAGAATTTCGACTTGCATGTCCCTCCTTTTTCCTCAGTGACCCCGCGGAGTGGAACTGGGTCACTGCAGCCTGCTGTTGCCAGAGCATTGAAGGAGAGGAGCAAGTTAGTACACATTTGTATCTGATGAAAAAGCTAAGGAGACGCGTTACAAACTTCTTAGTGCGCATCTCAAGTGTTGTTCTTTCCAGGACTTACACGCATCCCTTGGTTTTTCTAAGAACCGAGGATCCATAGAAGTTGTATTTTTTTCAGGCTGTAGTTGGTGTCAGTTCTAGATCTGTCCTGGCTGTTAAACAATTAGAATTATTTATTTATTTGTTTGTTTGTTTATTTTGACGAACAATGGAACTTTATTTCACTTTAAATATCCTGGTTTTTTTAAATTTAACATTAATTTAACATAATAATACTATCAATTTGATGAGAAATTGTTTTCATCGTGAATAATCTCTATTGTTGCCAGATCTTAAGTGTATAAAATTGATGGGGAAAATTTATTCTTTTTAAAGATTAAAAAAAAAAAGCCCCCCTCTGCACAAACTGACCCCCCCTTTTGTTTTTCTTTTGTAACAAATGTCATACTGCTACATTCTTGCCATATTTTGGGCGCTTTTAGATAAACAAACCGCTACTGAATGGGCTTGTTGACTTGCATATGTTCTCTGGGGTGTGCTGGTGCCTGTGTGGTCTCTTATTTGTGGTTCACAGAGAAGAGGGGGCCTGGCTGGAGATGGTAGGAGAGGGGCCGGAGCTGAGTCCTGAGGCCTTGGAGGAAGGAGCAGGGAGGGTTAGGGAGGGGAAGAGATTGCACGCAAAGAAAAGGCTCAGAGCACGCTGGAACTGGGAGCTGGCAAAACCCAGTGTGATGACACACGGTGGCCAGACCCCTTCTGACCAGTCTGGTGTGTGGAGGGGACCTCAAAGCCGGACGCTGGGTTTGTCCAGAAGGGCAGTGCTGTTGTTGAAGGGCCTGAGCTGGATCAGAGGCCCCGGGGCTGCATTTTAGGGTCAGTCTAACTGGAGCTTTCGGAGTGGGTGAGAATTAGGAGAGCCTGCTGTTGACATGTACATGAGCTGGGAGGTCTTTCAAGTGCAGGAAGCACCCACCATGTGGTTTAGACATGAAGACACCAGGCATGGAGAGAAGGCAGGATGGAAGACACAGAATTTAATGTCATTGATATATAGGCGATCATTGACGCTCTGAGGATAGACTGTGTTCATCGCATACACTGGAGAGCATCACAGTTTGGCCTTTTGATTTTCTTTTTTTCTTTCTAGTACTCATGGGTAGACAAGGATTACCACTTGCAAAATTTCAGAGTTTTAAAAAACACTTTTTTAACCTCCATTCTTACTTAACTGCTGGAGAATAAAATTTAAATACTTTTTCCTCATTGCTTTTGAAATTTGTTAACCAGATTTTTGGGTGGGGGCATTTTTTCATCCTCTATACCAGGGTCCGTAAACTAGGGGCCCAGTCTGGCACCAACCACCTGTTCGTGTAAATACGACAACAGCCATGCTCATCGTGTCCATTTGGCAGAGCTGAGTGTATAGCAGAGGCCATCAGGGCTAGAGAGCCCATCAGGCCCTTTACAGACAAAGTGTTCAGCCCCTGGTCTGCACTCCCCTTGCTGGGCTACTGCCCCCCACTTTCCGCTTCCTTCAGCAAAGTTAGCTCCTGTGCCCAGTTGGTTCCATTTGAGTCTTGCCCTCAGCTTTTTTTCTGGAAGCTGCTTTGCAGGTCCCCAGAAAGGGGAGGGGACCCCCTGGAGCCGGAGGCACCCACAGCCTTTGGAAGTTGTGAGGACACGTTGCAGAACAGTTGCGATCACGGCTTCTTCTGCTTCAGCCACAAATGTCTTAGTAGAATTCACAGAAGGCTCTCAGCCAATGACCAGGCAGGATTCTTTAGAATGGGCTCTTCATCTAGGAGCACAAAAATAAAAAGCCCAAGAAACAAGCATTACCATGAAGCCCAAACTGCCCCCTACTGCAATGGCACACACAATTCAACCAGCTAAACAATACAAGAGAAGTCATAACGCTGTGAAGAGTCCAATCTCCTACAGAGGCTTCTGTCTCAGCTTCGCAGAGCGGCAAACTATGCAGCTTAATACCCCCAAATGTGAAAGACGAGGAGAGAGAACTTTGTTCTAATTGGTTTTGTTCTGAATAGATTTTACCTTTTCACCTTTTCCTGGTGAAACTTAACACTTGAAACTAAAATCAGCTTTACTTACTTTCTTACAGCCATGGTCTGAAAAAGTTCTTTTCCTGCCGTGGAATTGCAATCGCAGTGGAGTATTTCTGGAAGCTTGGGAACAGAAACATCACTGTGTTTGTCCCACAGTGGAGAACGCGGCGCGATCCTAATGTCACAGGTGAGGCCAGCTGGTTTTTCCAGGTTTCTAATGAGATGTTTAATGAGTTGGCTTATGATTACCACACACACCACCATGTGGCAGCAGCTTTAAAAATGCAATTGTAAATCTGTTGCACCCAGTAAAAAATGGGCTGAACGGCCTAAGAAATACCCGAGGGAAGGATGGAAAGTTAACACAGCTGTTTATATAGAAAGTTATGTTGGAGTTCATTATATATCACGAACATTTTCTTTGACTTTCTAAAAAGTAGATTAAATGTCTTTTTTAAAACCTTTTGACCTTTTGTTTTTCCATCAGGCTGGGTTTCTGCCTCTTTAAATATTATTTTTGAAAATGGTCACTTGATAAATTTGGAACCCTCAAATAGAATGTCGTTTTAATGGCCTGCTTAATAACTTAATATAAATCCTATGGTACGGCACGGCCAAGCTGCAGGCCACACACAAAAGGCTTGAACTTAGGATGAATCGTGACGTGTCCCAGAGAAACTTGAGGCTTGTTTCTCAGGTCGTAGTAGGAAGGCCAGTGAGAGGGCTGTTTCAGGCTGCTGAACCCAGCACCTGAAGGACCTGGAAATGAAGAGGAAGATGGGAGGACGGAGGGTGAGCACAGGAGTTGCCCCACCCACGGAACAGGAGAGGACTTGCTCACCACTGAGGTGGGAATGGTAAAAACCACACGCTTCCCGAAGATCCAAACTCCCCTCATTTGGGAGAGCAGATCTGTCCTAACAGGGTACTTGACAGAGGGTACTTGAATGAGGCGGATCCCCTCGTTTTGCAGTTACTTTTGCTGTAGGGCCCCTGGAAGGGGCTTGTAAGCCCCAGGTACGTGCGTTTCCAGGACAATAAAACACTGGGCATTTCCCCTTCCGTCAGCGGTGAGGACTGTGGTGCTGAGTGCGAGTGTGGGAAGCTCAGGCCTGCGCTTTGTAGCTTCGTTTTTGCCCATTCTTGGTTTTCCTAAATGTGGCTTTGGCCCTTCTTTCTCATGTCGCGATGCACCCCCATGAAAATCAGTAAATATTTGTACAGGTAACAGAGTCTGGGTAGGATGCCAACTCAAGGGAGATGGTGGCAGGACCAGGCAGGCTTTTCTTGGGATCAGGGCAGCACAGTTCGTCCCTCCGACTGCCACTTCCCCTCCCACCCCGCCCTCTCTCTGGGACTTTGGCCATCAGTCTGTCCTCTACTGCTTATAATGTGGCCCTGAAAAAGTTCTTGACAGTAG